TGTTCAGCCGAACGTGAGCGAAAGCCGCGTTCCAAGTGACGGCGTTCGCCGAGAGCTGCAAACCGTTTAGCTTACGTCACCTTCAATCTATCACAAATCATCTCGAATACAGAGCTCGCGAAATCGTGAAAACGACTCGAAAGAGCGACCAAAAGCCCACCTCAGGTGTTCCGCAGCTCTAAGGAAACATCCGACGTCGACAGCGCGATCTTCTCTGGACCGAAGAATCCCGCAGGCATTCGATGCCAGGGCAAAGCACGTGCGCCGCGCTTTCTTCGACCACAGCTTATATTGAGGATGTCCCGCGTTTCGAAGGCAGCTCATGGGCACGCGCAACCCCGAAACAAGGCACTACGTCATCCTGAGTGGATCTCCGACCCGGCCCCAAGCAGCACATAAGTTCGCGTCCGACTTGGCGTCACCGCGCGTCTGAGACACTACAAGACGCTTCCGAGACGCTACGAGACGATGCCAAACAAGCTAGGCGCTGCTGCCTAAACGCATCATGTTTTTTTTTTTTTTTTGTTTTTTTCATTTTTGGAAAGGGGGGAGGGGTTCAGGTGCGCACGCCGAACCTCCCGTTCCGTGAGGTTCCCGTGTATTTCGGCCAAATCCGAAACAAAAAATCGCCGGTAAAATTTTTTGACGATTCGAATTTATCCGTAAACCTCCGAATTTCGAGGTCGCAACGACAAAATGAAAAGCAAAAAAGACTGCGTGTTCCAAGTAAACTTCGGAAGAGCACAGGGTCAGTGGTCCCGAGACGATGCCACTTCAGTTTCTTTCGAGAACTACTGACATAAGACTTTTAGCACGTCGAGGTTCCTTCGGGAGAACGGATCATGGAAGCCGGACTTTATTTCTTTTGTTTTTGCATTCTTAAAATATAAGAACGCCAGTAAAATAACCTCATACTTTCAAACAATAGACCTATCGCTAAATAACCGGAACATCGAGGAGAATGCAGGGATTGGTATTCCACGCGCCGCCGCACGTGCTGGCCTCATGCACTCTTCTAAAGCAAATGTCTAAAACAAATGGCATCTTCCATGGCCGTTCGTCAACGCTTTACTTTGGTTATTTACTTGGAATCTTTTATACGGAAAAGGCGCGTGCTCGTGAGGCGCGTGGAACACCAATCCTTTGCATTTTCTTGACGCTCGGGTAGTTTAGTAACATGTCTATTGGAATCTATACGACAAAACAGAAAAGAACATTGCAGCCAACGCCACAAGCACGAGAGAGCTCGAGGTCGCTGCTTTGAAACGTTCTCCCGCAGAACGAGCGCTCGCGCCAGAAACGCATGTCTGAAAGCCAGGAACGCGGGCCTCGTCACGGCGTCTCAGGGAGTCTTCAGACAACTCGGAGAAACATGCGCCTGCCAGATCCAGCACCGCTGCTGCGATAGCGCCAGAATCGCGACCGGAGACAGCACGACGCTTCTACGACGTCATCGGGCGAAAATCGAGGGCGTTTTGGACGCGCTAAACAGAGCAGTCAGCGGCGCCTTCCAGGCACCATGCTTTGGCTGCCGCGCCACCAGCTTGTCTGTCTCCTTTGTGCTACATTGTTGAGGCTAGCCTGGCTTCTGCAGTGCTCCAACTCTGTCAAAGCACTTGGAGCCGAAGGCCGCGTTTTCTGTCTAGACACCGTTCTCGGCGATAGAGCCTTGTCAGCGTGTACACTGCACGCCAGCCGATAACAAAACTATTTTGTGCTACCCTACCGAGTCTAGCGTAGCTTCCACAGTAATCCAACTCTATCAAAGCTAGTTGCGCGAGCGAGTGCGACGCGAAATAAAAGGGAGATTTCAAAGACCGCGTTTCTCCCTCCGCAACGAAGAAGCCGCTACTGCGCCTGCGCACCTATGGCCTTGACAGTAGAGTTCCGAGTATCGTAGCGGGTTGCGCAGAGCGCTGTTTTATTACCGTCGCCATTCGCAGACGGTAATAAAACGAGAAAACGCGATCCGGTTCATTCACCCCTAAACTACAAAATCGGCAGCAGTACGTCTCTATTAACAACATCTAGTAAATTCAGAATACAGCACGGCGTTCCTCAAGGTTCCATTCTAGGTCCTCTATTATTTCTAGTTTACGTGAATGACGTAACGATAATACCAGGCTCCCCCGAGTTAGTATGTATACGGATGACACAAATGTCTTTCTTTACTGGTGTGACTAAAGAATACCTAGAAAATGCTTGCAATGCCTACCTCATTAATTTATCGAATTGGTTACGAGTAAATAGATTGAAGCTAAACGCAAGTATGAAAAAATACACAATCGTCAAACCTGTTAGTAAGCGAGACAACAGCTCTATTAACATTATATTTGAAAACACCGTTATAGAACAAGTTGCAGAGCAAAAGTTCTTGGGCGTCTGGTTTAGCGAAGAGCTCACGTGGTCCACCCATGTAAATAGAATGAGGGCAGAGCTGTCTCGAGTTATTGGTATTATATATAAAATGCAGAATTTGATACCCACTTGGCTTAAAATGACGTTGTATTATTCTCTCTTTTATTCCAAGATCAGTTATGGTATGCTGGTTCGGGGAACGACCACTGCATCTAACTACAACAAACTAATCATCCTTCAGAAAAAAATTCTTCGTATTTGCGAAAATTACAGAGGTAATGTCAGAAATTTGAGCACTCAACCACTTAAATATAATATATTGAAGGCAGACCAGATATATCACTTTAAATTATTTCAATGGATCTACAAAAGCAACCTATATTTGACACAGACACCTAATTCTATAGTGCCTACACATTAAGAGACCCGAAACGTAAAATCCCAAGCATACGAACAAATTATGGCAGGCAAAGTTTATCGTTACATGAGTACTAAATTATTTAATTCCCCTTTTCCGAAGTTCAAAAAAGACTGCAGACGAGCTCTGGTTTGCAGTGATATCGCATTTTTATCTATTTAAGGCATGTATATCTATTTATATTTATTTTCAATGAAGCGTAACATATACGAAACTTTGAAATTCACATTTTTGGCCTTGTAGCCTGATTTTTGGTTTTAACTTAGCTTGATTCCGCTTTCTTTTATAAATCCTTGTTTATAAATTTCTAGTAGATATGTAAAAAACCGGTTTCTATTTTTATCTTTATTTTAATTTTATTTTACATCTGGGTTATGAAAAGCATATCGCCCCACATTGTTCGAGCTGTGCCGCTTGTTTAGTTGTTTGAGTTGAGTCATTGTATTTCATGTGTTTTCAAATATTTCTATAATAATTGTTTCGATTTGTTTTTATGACGATGGCTGTCTTGTTATTTATTATCACTGTGATTTGTTTTAAATGTTATTTCCGCTGTATGAACTGCAGGGGGCAGAGGCGCTGTCAGGCATCATGCCTTCATCTCTGCCCCCTCTGCGGATGATTCAAATCCGCAAAACAAATAAAGAAACAAACAAAAAAAAAACGACTGCGGTAGAAGCTACGTCCTCGTTGGACCAGGCCTACGCCTGTCTTTCGCCATGTCATCACGCTCCCGGCCATACCCACGAGCGGAAAGCCGGGTCACGTGATCAGAGGGAGGCGTCTGATTGATCCGGCAGGCACGTAGCTCCGAAGTCTGCTACGGGCCGAGCGCAGCGCCGAAGTGAGGTCGCTGCCGAATTTTGGATCGTCTGCTATTTCGCGCTTCGCTTGCAAATCCTCGGTTGTTCTGCTGTTGTACAAGAGCTGACACCGACCAATGTTGAGAGTAAAGTGGAACTCCTACCCCCTTTTCCAGATTAGCAGAGCGAACGCTGGAAGTCCCCTCCCCTCCAATGGTTCGCTCGCACATCAGAGGCCGCGTGACCTCCCGCTATTCGTACGTTGACGTAGAACGCTCTCCGCAACCCGCTACGATAGCGGGAACTCCACAGTCAAGGCTATCGGCGCGCAGGCGCAGTAGCAACTTCTTCGTTGCGGAACGCTTAGGGCAACGCGGTCTACGAAAACTCCCTAATATCGCGCATGCGCAGTAGCGTCGCCGCTCTAGAGTAGAGCCTGGCGGGGGGTGCCAAAATGATCTACTAGAACTCTCTATTGAGGAAAAGAAAGCATAAACACGACCCCGCTTTCTACCCCTTTTTCCCCTCGACACAAAGAATGTCAACAGATGCACATGATAAGTATATTTTCTTTTTTTTTTTTTTTTTTTTTTTTTTTATTCGAGAGCAAACTATCGGCCAGCGTGGACGGAGCACGGCATTCGTTAACCGGCTATCACGCTGGCAAGTCTCGGAGTCTCCAAAGCCACCTCGAACGTGAAACAAGTGCCGACTTATCTGATCGAAATGGCTGACAAAGCGGAAATGCTGCAGTGGGCGCCCAACTCCTCCTCTCGTCGAACAGGCCGCGGAAAGTTGGGCACGACCATTCCTTAACCCCCCCCCCCCCCCCCCCTTAAACTTGTGGCAAGCCTAATCCTTTCTAAAGAATAACAAAAATATATATATACATTATTGTAAAGACCAGGCGATTGGTAAATTATGGGCGTAACATACTGTAAACGACTAAATTTTCGCGGGGACCTAATTTTCGCGAATCGCCTACAATTCGCGAAAAATACGTCCCGCAAACAATTTGGGCAACATGTGAACGCTACGGAAGCTACACTCGATTCGCGAAAATTAGAACCCGCGAATAATTTCGAATTTACAGCTTTGGTCCAATTCGCGAAAATTTGAGCCGGCGAAAATTAAGTCGTTTACAGTATGTTTTATAAAAAAAAAAAATATTAAAAAATATAAATTTCAACATTCTTTTTTCTAAAGCGTTTTCTTAAATTTTAAAAAAGCATTTATTTAGACTCTTCGCGCAAATAATATAAAAGAATGCTAAAGAGTAAGAAATTGCGCACCATGCGCTTTGAACGCAACCTATTAGACAGTACTCTAATAAAGTCATGAGGTCTATACTACGTCGTACAAACATGCATACAATAAAAGCGGGGACGTAAAAACAAAAGAAAACGAAATGATACGCTTACCTTTATTCTCGGAAGGTTCCATTCAGGGTTGAATACCAAGAATCCAAGCTGACGTCGCCAGCTTCCCACTTAGCCAGGGAACTACACAAACCTGCGGTGGGGTAATGTTCTTTAAAGCCCAGTTAGACTCCGTCAAAAAGAAAGAAAAAAAGAAAACAAATGTAAGAAAAGAGGGAACATCACGTGACCGCCTGATAAACGTTTATCTCAACTACGAAGTCGCGTATAAACGCAAGCAGTCGTTTAATCCATACAAAGAGTGGGCGGACTAAGGTACGAAACTGACGTCGTGTGCGCCAAAAAACTAGACACTCTGATATGCAGTCAAGCTCGAGCATTACGACGCATTGCCCGAGATAAAAAGAGATCTCGAATGTCATTCCGAAAACTGAAAGGACGAGCAGCCAACGCTGTGATCGAATCCAGTGGTTCTCGAATGTCACGTGACATGGCATGCATTATTGGCCCGTCTTTGCGGACAAGATGCGGCCTCTCGATCTGTGCTGGCTTGCCGGTTTCAACGACGCCCCGCGCAAGTCGGACCCCCGACCCGAGGCGCACGGGGGACACCATCCGAAAGCCCCGACTGCGGAGAAAACATCGCTCCTCGAGGGGGCCGCAGAGCGAGATGCGTGCAAACAACACCAAATTTCCATATATCGTGAACGAAAATACAGCCAGCCTGCACGCGAGCTGGTGGATGTTGATCATGTTGAAAGTTTCAACTCAAGAAGGTAGGGCGAGTTAAAGGAAGGCCGGGGAGGAGGAAGCAGACGGAATGCTGGAGAAGAGAGGGGGAAACTTCCTTCTCTTCTTAGCGTTCCGCCTGCTTAATCCTCCCCGACCCGTCTTACCCTCGCTCTACCTTCTTGAGTTGCAACTAAGCTTTCCATCTTTTATTACCGCAGTCTCGGGTAATTTGATCCTAGAGATATAACTTTTTACTTGACGGTCAAAGAAATGGTCGTCAGAAAAGTTACAGTCGTAAACAGAACGGCCTTCGATAGATGCTGCGCTACCTGGAGGCTGTTAAAACTATGAAGTGAAGAGGGGGGCTAAAAGAGAGTGCGCGTTAGAGTAACTGTATAGGTTCTGCTTGCAGAAGCAGAGTATCGCGTTCCTATTCCTTGCGCCGCCAACTCCTTATTGGCGGAGAAGTGGTCACGAGCGCCAAACTGGATCCAACCTTCACGAGGGAAAGCGACCTTGCAGGCGCCGAGTTTCGGGCGGAGCATGTTTCTCGCTTTGCGTCTCACTTCGGTTACAACGAAGTGCAAAAGGGAATGGGGAATCGTGACTGCTTCGCTGTAGCCGCTATTTCGTTAAGACCGACTTCGTTATACCCAGTCTCGACAGTAATTGCAAAAACCGAAAGTTTATTAACACGTATCCAATCGATTCAATAGTGCAAAAGTAAGACGGCAAGATGCGTATACGTACCGAGCTCTTGAGCGCCGCGTGGCACAGCCTCGTCGCCTCCCGGGCCTGGTGGTCCGCACACTCGCCCATGCTCACCAGTGAAGCGCTCGAACGGCATCAGCTACCAGCCTACATTTCATCTGGCAACAGGTCGCGCAATCAAAGCCACGGGCGCGCAGGTCGTGCGCCTCTTTGGCAGGGGAAAAGCGATTTCAGGATTTCGCTCCTTTACCTGGTACAGCGCTGCACAGTGTCGCACTCAAAGCGGGTCAAGGGGTTCGTCAAACGTGCGACAAACGCCATACAGCTCGCAGACGACGGTCTCATTTGAGTGCCGTCCCATCCTCGAAAGGGCCAACGCGGGGCGATGGGGCTAACTATCGTTTGCTATTTTGCGTATACAAAAAGCAATAGCGTTTCACGTTGCAAAACAGGGTGTCTCCCTCAGAGACACCCCGGAGACAGAGAAGGGACCTCGTGCTCTAAGCTTTTTCCTAAACTCGCCGTTCTGTCATTGATAGCTTTGATTTGCCTCTACGACAATTTTGGTCTAACACCCAATGTGCTAAGATTTAAAAGACCAACATGCTAGCATTTGTTTTGATAGAGCGAGAACGAGCACATTGTCGTTCACCCTGTCGCGCAATTCACCCACATTAACAATTAAAAAAAAAAAAAACTTTTTATACGACAGTTTTTGTTTTTCGTCGATTGTGATAGCAGCCCCATAAAAAGACTTATATTTAAAGGCATTTGCTGACGGCTAGAAGCCCGCACTCATAGCATTATCTTCGGATACTTTCACCGAGCGAGAGTTCCTGCAGCAAAAAGGCGTGTCCTTGAGCGAAGATCCCTGTGGTCTATTAGTGGTATCGTCGTACAGGGGTTCTAAACTCGTCGAACGCAAAGTTGTAGCCGAAAGTTCGCGGAGCGAACCGATTGGACGTTGGCGAGAAAAACGCCAAGTCATCGTCGTGATTGTCCAATCGGCGCGCTCCGTCAACTTCGGCTCCAACTTTGCGTTTGACGAGTTTAGGGCCCCAGGTGTTTACGAGAGAAAGAGAGGCAAATATTTACAGGCAGAAATACTTGATCCAAAATCAAATAGCAAAATGTCTTCTATCGGTAGAGCTTTTTTTCGAACGGAAATGAACCGACAGTGTGAAACTTATTTATGGCGCATGCAGCGCACATGGGAACGGGACCTCACAGCCGAGGGATCCTTGTGGGTCACGTCCCAAAAAAATCGCGGTTCGCGTGTTTGAAACCCCTGCCCTAGATGCACGCTCCTAGCAAACTTTTTGTTTTTACGCTCGAAAGTCAGCAACTTGTCCACAGACGGTATTAGTACGGACAATGCTCAGATCATCAAAAGGCTTCCTTTTTTTCCGCCATGTTTCCCGTCCACAATTAAAGCGGCGCGTTTGGAACCTTAGCCCTTATGCAAATTAGGAACGTCCATTTATGATCGGATTCTATTATCAAAAAGTACACGTTTCAAACGCATTCTTCTTTTTTTTTTTCTTTTTTTCTAACAACCAGATTCGGCAAGAACTGCTTAGCGTAGCGAAAGAAAAATCTTTCTCGCAAAACTTACTTTTTTGTTTTCTTTCTTGAGATGACAGATCAAGCTGTACCTAAAGTATAGGTTCACGTTCTTTGTATCCTGAATTGCCACGACATAAAACAAACTGACACGGTGGTACCCTGATGACGAGCGCCGCTAAGTCGCCTTCTGGTTGGCCAGCCATGTGGAGCTTTTCTTTTCACCCAGCCAATCAGAGACTTAGAAACGCTCGCTGCAGATATCACCATACGAGGAAAGACAATCGGCAACCTTTACCTACATTATAAAACTCTCTGTATCAAACTATAGCTGCTCCCCAAAAAGAAAAAGAAAAGTCCAAAACAAAAAGATAAAAAAAAAGAAATCCGTCATAGAAAAATAAATAATAAATAAAATCTGCACTAAATGCACCTCGGAACATTAAATGTAGTATGTTTTGTTGTTATTCTTACCGAGTTCGTTATAGGGAAATAATTACGTTAGTTTTCACAATATTTCGATACTACGAATTTCGACTTTGTATAAGGTATAAACAGTAATGTCGTGAAATGAATACCTTTTTTTTTTTAATTATTTTTGGCATCGTTAAGAAACAAACCTATAACACGCTCCACTCGTCACTCGGACCTCTGGATAGCAGAGGCATCATGCGCTGATTATGGCCTTCGGATGATTAAAACTACCTTGCCGACATCATTAAACAGACTCGTGTGCTACACATTTTATATAGAATCTTGTAGCGCACAGTACACAAAATTAACGCGAAGTACGAACACACGAAGATGGAGTAGACAGGATAAAGCGTTCTGTCCTCTCTACTTTTTCTTCCTGTGTTCGTCCTTCGCGCTAATTTTGTGTACTGCGTTAAACCAACTAAACTTTAACCCTGCCGGCCGCAAATTTGGAGGTTCGCTGCCTCTGGAAAATAAATATACGCGTGTTGAAAGTCGGAAGATGTGCTGTCCGTGCTCTGTCCTTTATATGTAACTCTTTCGTAAAAAGAATTGTATGCAATACAAAAACAGTGCAAATACCTGTTCTTCTTAATATGCTGGAGAATGTACATGAGCCCTTTTCACATATACAAAACTGACGTTAGAAAAGTTCCTTACTGATAACAATATTATTTCAAATCGCTAGTGTCCTGATACTTCTAGTGCATATGATTGACTTACACGTTTATTCAATTATACGAGCAGTTTTTTTAAAAAACTGCTCGTATAATCCAAATCGTATAAGCCAAATCGCTCCGGCGAAAACTACGCATCGCCAACAAAAAAGGTTGATGCCGTAGTGATCTGTGCGAGAGGGCCCATTAAGGAAAATGATTAGCGTTCAGTTTAATCGGGTAGTCAATTACAATTTAGTAATTCTACGTTTTTAAATATTAACTTTAAGGGTAAGGTTTGAACCAGAAACGAGGCGAATCATCCCAAACTACTAAATCCACCCAGATTACAAATGATGTACGATTCCGTGTTTTCTGATGTTGATCGCCGAGCACCAGTCACCTACCTGTGTTTGGAGATTTGTGTTTGTTCCTTTGTCCCCCTTGCTTCCCTTCTCCGGGGATCATTATCGTCATCCGTGTCTTCGGAGTTTATTTCTCGTGAAGTTCGGAGGGGGTCGGAGTTCGCATTTCTCCGAAAATTCGAGGTTTATCGAAATTTATTTTTCTTAGATTCCCAATTATCTGAAATTCTGAATTTATTTTACAGCCTAACTGATCTTTTTTTTTTTTTTTTGTAATTTCAAAAATCAAATATACAAAGTCAGGGTATCATGACCAGATTGTCCCGAAGGAACCTCGATGCGCTAAAAGGCGGATAGATCCCTTCAGTCAGTAGTTCGAGATTTTAAAAGCAAAACTGAAGTGGCATCTCTTCAGAACACCTGACCCTGTGCTCTTATGAAGTTTATTTGCAAAACACCGCCTTTCTCCCTTTTTACTTTGTCGGTGACCTCGAAATTCTGAGTTTTTCGAGAAAAAATCCGCATTTACGAAAAAAATGTACCGGCGAGTGTTTTTCGGACGTTTTTTATTTTTCTTTTTTTTTTCTTTTTTTTATGACTTATCCGAAAACACGGAACCCTAGATCGCGCAGCATTTTACGGCATTCGGAAATATTCTCAACGTAGACGCGTTTCTAAGTTTTGGTTTCTTATCGGGGCGCATGTCCAGGCCAACAATCCCACCCCCCGTAGCCCGCAACGTGCGTGCGCCGCCAGGCATCGCACGTAAAAGCACGTCTTCACCCTTGCGTCAGAAAGGCCCCACCCATGTGGCGGTCCGGATTCTTCTTA